CAAACAAACAAGCAAAAATCTAAATTCAATAATGTAGCAGGTTACAAAATTAACATACAAAAACAGTAGCAATTCTGCATGCTATAATCAACCCACTGAGAAAGAAATGAGGGGAAAAATTACTATTCATGATAGCACCAAGAAAAATTAAATACTTAGGAAATAACCTAGCTAAGCAAGTGTAATACCAGTACAATAAAACCTACAGAACTCTGGAAAAGGAGACTGAAGAAGACATCAGCAAATGGAAACATAACTCCCTTTTCTGAAAGGCAGAACCAACATTCTTCAAATGGCCATACTTTAAACATTGTTATGCAAATTTAATACTATCTCAAAATACCAACTGCAGCCCTCACAATTCTAGAGAAAACAATTCTAAAATTCATGTAGAACCAAAGAGAACAGCAGAAACAATTCTTGGAAACAAGAGCAAAGCAAAAGTCCTCACAATTCAAGATTTGAAGTTATGCTATAAAGCTACAGTGATGAAAGCAGTGTGGTACAGGCACAAAAAGACACGCACATCAAAGGAACAGAACAGAGGTTGCAGAAATCAGAACAATAGCGATAACAAAAACCAGGCACTGCAACTATTTGGTCTTTGACAAAAGGGCCAAAAATACATGGAATATATAGAAGAAAAGTAGCCTCTTCAAGAAAGGTGCTGGGAAAACTGGTTATCCACATGCAGAAGATTGAGTCTAGACCCATTTATCGCACAATGTACTAAGCTAAAATCAAAGTGGATCAAAGATCTAAATGGTAGAACTGAAATGTTTCAGGTCTTGGGGGAAGAAAAGTAAAATTTTTGAAGACAGAGGCGTAGGCAAGGACTTTATGAACAGAACCCTGGTTACCCAGGAAACAGTACTGAGAATCAACAAATGTGATCATTTCTAATTAAATATCTTCTGTACAGCAAAGAAAAGAACTAACAGAATGAAGAGACAAGCTACAGAATGGAAAAAAAAATCTCTGCCAGCTATTCTTTGATCAGAGGACTCATATCTGAATATATAGCAAACATAAAAAATTAGTCTCCCAAAAATAAAAGACTCAGTCAAAAATTGGGCAACAGAATTTAATAGACATATCTCAGAAGTACAAATAACCAATGAATACATAAAAAAATGTTCAACACTACTGCTCATTAGGGAAATGCAAATTAAAACAACATGGAGATTCCTTCCTACTCCAGAAAGAACAGCTGTCATTCAGAAATCACATAACAAATGCTGGTAAGGCTGGGAATAAAAAGGAACACTTCTGCACTGTTAGTTGGAATGTAAATTCATATAAATACTATGGACATCAGTATGAAGATTTCTTAATATTTTAAAAGTAAAAATTCTATTTGACCCAGGTATTCCTCTCCCAGATATCTTCCTCAAAGACAAAAACATCATATTACAGTGATATATTTATACCCATGATTATATCAGTAAAATTCATAATGTCTATACACTGGAAATAGCTTAGACATTTTAATAAATATATTGTAGTATCTTATTATGATTTTCATGTTGATTTCCACAATGACTAATAATACCTGTCATCAGAATCACAGCAGACTTCTCAGCACAAACAATAAAGTCAAGAAAAGCATGGAGTGAAGTATTTAAGATCCAAATGAAAATGATTTCCAACCTAGACTGATGTACCCTGCAAAACGGTTCTTCAAAATTGATGGAGAAATAAGATACTTCCATGACAAAGAACAGTTGAAAAACTGCATGATCACCAAGCCAAGCCTGCAGGGAATACTGCAAGACAGTTTAGATACACACAGGAAAAAAACACTAAGCAAAGCAGACAATTAAACAGAAAGAAAAGACAAAGATCAACAGCAGAAAGATAATATGTCAACAATAAACCAACATTTAACAGTTTATAACCATTAATGTAAATGGTCTCAATGCACCACTTAAAAGAAACAGACTGGCAGAATGGATCAAGAAACAACCTCCAACCATATGCTGTCTACAAGACACCCATCTAACCCAAAAGGATACTCATAGACTGAAAGTCAAAGGACGGAAAACAATACTTCATGCAACAGGACCCCCCCCCCAAAAAAAATAGCAGGGGTAGCTATTCTGTTTGCAGGCAATGTGAACTTCAAACCAAGAATGGTCAGAAGAGATAAAGAAGGTCATTACATATTGCTTAGGGGAAAACTTCAAGAGGAAGAGATAACAATCTTAAATATATATGCACCAAATTCCAGAGCACCCAGTTATACAAAGCAAGTATTAATAGAAATGAAAAACCAATTTAGCAATAGCACAATCCTTAACACACCATTGAAACCAAGGGACAGATCAACCAGACAGAAAATCAGCAAAGAAATAACAGAACTGAATCACACCTGTGAACAAATGGACTTGATAGACATATACAGAGTGTTCTACCCAACAATATCAGAATGCACGTTCTTCTCAGCAGTATATGAGACATTCTCTAAAATAGACCATATGCTAGCTCACAGAACATATTTAAATAAGTGCCAAAGTGTTGGAATTATCCCATGCATGTTATCAGATCATAGTGCCATGAAATTAAAAATTAATGATAAAAGTACTGCAAAAAATCCCACAAACACATTGAAACTGTCAATCCTTTCCTATGCTTATTTGCTTCTTTATTAGTTCTTGGCTAAACACCTTTTCAAATCTCTGCTTCCTTTTTAGAATACTTGCTTTTTTTTTTTAATGTATTCTGGATACAAGTTATGTTAAGATATATGCATGGCAGCATGTATCTCTGTGACTTGGTTATCTCTTAAAACTGTCTTTTGAGGAGTTTTATAATTTTACAAGGTTTAATACAGTCAGTATTTATTTTTAAGGATGTATTTTTGTGATCTAAGAAATATTTATCTAACCTAAAATCATAAAGATTTCTTGTATTTTACTTACTAGACGTTTGTGTAGTTTTAACTTTCTTTAGATCTGTTTTATTTTGAGTTAATCTCATGTTATATGACATAAAGCATCATATTGGTGGTATACCTCATCTCGTCTGAAATCTCATGAAACATTTCGTCTGTGTCTGGGTTCTACCTGAGGAGGGACAAGGTGGATGGAAATCTGGAAGTCTTCATTTTAGGTAAAAAGTGACTAGTTACTTGATTGGAAACATAAAACCTTTCTTCCACAGATACAGAGATGGAAGTTTATGAACATGCAGTAGAAAAGAAAACTATTTCTCTATATATCATAGCTATAGAGCATATATCTTAAATTTACTATAATTATTCCTAAATATGAAAAATAATTATCAATAATAGTAATATCTATTCACAAGACTTTAGTGTTATGCAATCTTTTAATAGGAATTTAAGAAAGAAATGTTATTTTTATTTTTAAAAAAGAACTGTATAACTCAAAACTTTTGATTTTGATTCCTCTAATGAGAAGGCTGGTAGACAACATCCTTCTAGATTGTTCTCATTCTCAGTGCACTGTTGCCAGTATCATAGTGGGTATCAGCTGAAAGAACTCTTCATGTTACCTTAGGCAAATGATTATTTCTCTCCTCCTCCATGGCTTGCCTGTTAGAACATTCAGTGTAACTTCACTGAAGGCTTGAAGGTACTAACAGGAAACCATCAGCAGATAACAGGCAATACATGTGACAAAAATAGGATTTGCTTGTTGAATCCAGCTGTCCGTTATTGCACATTCTTTTATTAGGATTCTTTAGGGGACAGATTACTTTTTAGAATTTCCTAAGTAAAAACTTCTACAGTTCAAAATGAACACACATTTTAAAGTGGAAAACAAGAAATGGTTAAACTTATTTTCCCATTTCAGTAGATCTGCCCTTCATTTCCAGATTTACAGTTTCCACCTCTTCCACTTCTTATTGATTCTGAGAATGATCTCACTTGGTAGGAAACTGAAACTATCTTACCACAGGAATGTTCTTCCTGATAGCCCTAACTTAGTAAAGTAGCTCAATCATTTAGACAGGGAAGAACTATTTCTTTACATTAATTACAGACAAACTCTGCTTGGGGGGGAAAAAAAAAAGATCGTAAGGTTCTGTTCTTATTCTCAAAGCATTTATACTCTATTTAGTATTAAGAGGTATATAAACAGCTGTTTCCAAGTAAATATTTTGTTATTTCACAGGGTTTCAGAAAAGTAGAGATCATTAATACAGAAGTTTGGGCTTAAATTAGAGCTTAGAAATCAAGTTGAAGAGAAGGAATTTCATGTAGGGGCATCATATAAGTAAAAATGAAGGCAATGGAACATGAAAGATTTTAAAGTAGAGTTCATAGAGTTTATTAGAGAGGAAGATAAAAATTGCAAAAAACAACAGATGAAAGTTAAAGAGTTTGTACATCCTCCTAACATGGTGTGCTAACATAAATTCTGTGCAGGGTGAGTTAATGTTTTGAAAGCACGGGTTAAACTACTCATCCATCGGTACAGTACTAGGATACATCCATGCAGAGAGATTAAGGCAGTCTAGCCATTAGGAAGGGTATCTGTGCTCAAGATGTCAAGACAAAATTTTGAGTGATAAGAACTACATCTTGGGTGATGATGATGAGACAAAGTCAAGAAAGGAAACAGAAACACAAGAAATGATAAAGAAAGTTAAAAGTCTTTGGAATTTCAATACTCGACTGTTAGAAAGCTAGGAGAAAATTGTTACTCAAAAGTAGAAACTTATTAATTAACCATTATAAAGGATTTCTGTAGACTAAAATATTTTACATAAGTTCTTTGAATTTGGCTAAGCGCATGCACATATGTCATCCAAATACTTAAATTGGTCACTTCTCTAGGTGCCAAAAGTGAAATTGAGCTAAATGTCCAAAATGAATTCAACTAATAATACAGACCCGTCTCAAGGTTCTTCATCACTACTTCTTGCTTGAGTTCATCTCACTACAATACAGTAATTGAAGCTCCAAAAAAACATTGCAAACTACTAGTTTTCTCTAGATTATTAAAAAGGCAGAAACTCAAGTCATTTCATACCATAATGGGTCAGGTCTATCCTCGCTAAATAGTAAGTCCGAGGCACATCCCATCATGTACAGCAGCAGGCTCTGCCACTATAGCCAGAGGCTGACAGTGCTTTGAGCTGTACCCTAAAGGCCTAGATTTCAGCCAGCATTCAAACTGGGCATGCGTCTCCCCTCATCCCCCTTTCCTCTCTGGCTGCTCTTTGCAGTCATCACAATGGCAGGTAAGTTTGTTTTTTCCTGGCATTGCAAAGGGCACCAGTTAGCTTCCTTTCAGGTGGAACTTTTTTTTTTTCCTACTTGGATTTGTTTTGTTTTAACTGTGAGTTTTTTAAAAGTGCTTTTATATGGATACAAATCTAGACAAAGAAAACTTTTAAGTTAAATAAACAAAAAGAATGTCCTGAGCCAGGATTTCTTTGCGGGACATGTTCCTTAGGCTATTTCTGAAAGGTTATTTATGGACGACTGTTTATCCCCTGAAGCCTGACTTCATCTCTTGGTGGAGTGAAATGACTCTGTGTTTAGTAGTGCATTGGTCTGCCACCCCTGGGAATGGCTAGATGTCAAATATTTACCACTGTGGGACAGAAGAGAAATCAGAGATGCAAAAATAAATAGAAGTACATGCTGTGTCCTCAGGAATTTGCAAAATTTTAAAAGAAATGTGCTATTTTAAAGAAAAAAAGCATTGAAATAGAATGATAGTATAACTCAGCTTTCTTTATTGGAATGAAGTAAAGCCCTCTGAAATATAAAGTTAATTCAAGCAGAGGAATATTTTTATCTTAGTACTTTCTCGGCAGCCACACTCATACAGTTCATTCCCTTGCCTGGCTCAGGCCCAGGCCCTGGGAAAAGTTTAAAATTTTTATTCTTTTAGTTAAAAAATAAGCATTGTACCTTGTTCTTCAAGCCTGCATTTTTCATTCAAAAAAGAAAAGAAAAAACAATAAAAGAACATCTAAGCTAAGAATTAGTTTGGTACCAATGCAATCTCATAAAACTTAGGAATCAAAACTTAGCATTCAGCTTTCTGGATAATTACATGAGAAAAATCATGAGATAAGTTTTACCCTCTTCCCAAAACTTCTCATTTCAAATTGTGTGCCTGCCTCTCTCATCAATTTCCGAGGCGGAGTTTTCCTTTGGTGTTGCACTTCCTGTATTGTCAGAGACAAAGCTACATTTAAAAAGTTAAATCAAATAAACCCAGCTACAAAGGGGCTTATAAAATAATCATAGTCGTGAATAGCATGGAAAGAGGATAGCCACTAAACCATAAAGGGAATACTTCATGGATGGCTGTGCTTTAAATAAAGTTCACGTGAGCATGTAACGTTAGATGCTTTTAAAATCCACAGGACAAAGTACAGGCATGTTTGTGCATTTCTCTTTCATTGGGCAAGTTTTTTTTTTTTTCCCTCCAACTTAAGTCTGGTCTGAATGCTAGGCAGCTTGCACACAGAGTTTTGCTTAGAAGGTGTTTTTTTTTTTTTTTTTTTTTCAATCCTGAGCACTATCAAGAAGAAAGACAATTCTCTCTCTGCCTAACCCCCAAAGTGACACCGAATTCTGGCTTGATCTGAGAACCAGCGTCCATTTGCAATCTGTCCCAGTTGCAGTTACTGTGCTCTGGGAAGACAGGCTGCCTTCCCCTCTGTGAGGATGACAGCTTTGTAAGGCTGGTGGGCACAACACGTTTAAAAGTAAATATTCGGCAGCTTCGTCATCCTCGAATTTGGCGAGGAAAATATAATCAACAAAGGGGCATTACTTTTAATTGCATTTAAAAATATAAGCCTCTGCAGACTGGAGAGCTGTGTGCCCCGCGAAGGGCTTGCTCTGTGCGCCTCTTTGCGCCAGCGGGGGAGGCAGTTCATAGAAGCAGGCTTTGTTTTAATTAGCACAGCAAGCAACCCTCCCCCTGCTCCGTTCAGGGCTTCTTCCAGTTTACAATCGACCTAACCTACTCAGCCAAAAATTGTTACTAAGAAAAATTCCACAGAAACCCAAAGAAAAGGGCCAGGCAGAGCCCGTGTTTTTTAAAAGAGCTTTTCCAAACTGAGTCTCCGGCAGAGCTGTCTGCAGGAGTGAAATGCTGAGCTATGATTGCTTGAATAGGTTTCAGCTCCAGGGATGTCCCCCAAGGTTAACGAAATAGTTCAGTTAAAAATAACAGTAAATTCTTCTCCCTACCTTTATCCCAAAGTGGGGAAGAAAAAAAAAATGCAGTCCACATTTAAATAATATTAGGGATCTGATTTAAAGTGATAAAAGCCAGGAAATTCAAAATTAAGGGAGATTTAGAGCCCTAACTCCAAGCCAGTTTTGAGAGTAAGATACACTCAATCAAGTGAGCTGAGCAGCTATGCCAGCTTTAACCCAGCAATACAGAGCTTTTGTGCCTTCCGAGGCAGCTCTTCAGGGTATTGAAGTGGTAGATATGGAGGAATGGTGTTTAAATAAAAGAAAAGGTGGGAATGGAAAGCACATTGTAGGAAATTATAATCGCTGACAAAAGTTTGTTTAGATTTAGCCAAGAAAGCATTGGTTCCCTTGCTCTGAGCTGATCCATTTGCATCTGATGAATTATCCTTTGGATTTTCTGTGTTTTAGTTTTTTCGTTCTTTAGTTTCAAAACTGCAAAAGCCATTTTCATTGAATCACATTGAGCCACTTTTGTTAATTAAACAAGAAAGGTTCAAATGGGATGCAAATTTAAATATTGAGATCCATCTCTTATTGGACCACTAGATCACAACTGCTGTGAACCTGTCATTAGAGGTTTTGTAGGACCAACGGCTGGGCTGGGTGCAGAGCAATGCCTTTCACTCACTTCAGAAGGAAGGAAGCTGGCTTTGAACCTATGTTCAATTGGTCCAAATTATTGGATACACAATTATGCAGATGTGCAATTATTGTACAATTATTGGGAGTAAAATAACTTGAATTAGGTATTTCCTGAATGAGAAGTTTAAATTGAAGTATTTCCACATTAAAACTTGAAGAACATTAACAATGACAAGCGACTTTGATTTCATTGTATTTGCACCCATTTTAAAAATCGTATACATAAATTGTAAAGGTGTTTTCAAAAGAAATGCTTTGTGCTGTGTTATTAGTACATTGACATTCTCATGTAATGTCAAATATATTTCATTTGTTCGGTTTAAAAACTAATGTAATTCTTATGCAATTTCCAGTGTAATTTCTCCTTAGAATTTTTTAAAAATCTGTTTTTCCTTTGCCTCATTCTAACTACAATTTGTTGTAAAAACATGAAACTCAAACTGATCTTTTATGCTCTCTAATCTTATGCTGAAACTAGTATTTCCATATTCCTAACACTGATTTAATATCCTTGAAGCTAAAGGAAGACTGTACTTCCTGCATATTTCTTAGTGTAAATTTTAAGTAATCTTCCCATTTTTTTTTCAGTGCCTGCGCCAGCATCTTTGTGCTTGCAACCACATTTGCTCAAATGTGGTAAACAGCTTTTCAAAGTTGGACATATATACCCACCAAGCAAGATGTTCTACTCGCTGGTCATAAAACAGCTCTGTGCTGAACCCACTGGGCTCCTTGGTGACACACAACTGAGAAACATTGTATATGTATATCCTCAGGCAACCAGGACAGCATTCACCAACAGTAACTGTGCTTTTGCTTTATGTAATTTTTATGTATGTAGTGAATTGCATAAAGTAGTCTGTAACATTTTGCTGTCTGGTCTCTTCAGAACACATTTTGATGGTGGCCAAGTGCCTGAGATTAATAAAGCCAAGCTGTGGCCAGAAGATAAAAATCATCAATCCTATATAAGAACTAGATTTCCCATATATGGTGTGATGGAAGCCATTCTTTAAAAACTTAGGCAATTTCATTGATATGAAACATCCTACCATCTTATCTTCTGAGAAGAGAATGTCATTCTGAAGCCCTAGAAGATAGTGATGTAGATATTAACTATGTGACTTGGGAGAGGGAAGAAGTTGGTAGGCTTCAATATTTAGTACTGCTACCTTTCCAGCTGTGTGACTCAAGTAGAGTTAGATATTGCTGTTCCTGTCTTTCATCATCATGTTTGTGATATGTAACATGGAAATGATAAGATCAACCTCAGAGAGGTTACACAAAATAGTGGAAAATTATTAGATAAATGACGAGTTTACTTGATAATAGTAGTTATGATTATTACTATTATTACACATTGCTTTCCACAATTTTAAGCAGTATACAAGCTTTTGAATCTGTTAAGCTATTGTTGTACTCACTTTTCTCTCATTGCTGACACAAGGTACCCAACAGGCAACATTAAAAGAGGAAAGCTCTATTTGGCTCACATTTTGTGGAGGTTTCAGTTCATAGTTGGCTGGCTCCAAGGCAGAGTGGCATGGGACAGGGGCATCATAGAGGAGAAGCAGTTCATGGCAGGCTGAGGGCAGCAAGACAGATACTTGGGGGTATTGTTTTATGAGTACCAAAATGGTCTCCAATTAAGGAGGGGAATGCTGGCTATGGCTAATTTCATACTTACATCGGGCTATTTATTTATTGATGAATTATGATAGAATAATAAATCTTGCTTGTAAAAACTAAACATTATTCAAATTTTGACCACACAGACAACAGAGCTAAAAGCGACTTGAGTTCTGTATCCTTGGAATGATGACTTTGGGTTCCAGGGATGAGCACAGAATAACTGAACATGAGGTGTTCCCCAAGACTGGTGGCTGGTTATTTTCCAAGTCCTGTAATATTAGATAGACACCTCCATTACTTTCTTTTCAGAAGCCGAGATTCAAGAAATATTGGTTGAAGACCTAGCATAACTATGTGATCCTGAGCACAGATGAATTACTCTGATGGCTTTTCATGTGAAAATGGGTTTAAAGATGTTCAGTTTTCTGAAGTTATCAGGGTTAAAGTAGAACACAACTTTAAGATCTTTCTCATTGACATAATTATTGCAAAATAAAATGAGGTCAGTGCCCTTCTCGAGATAGCCACAATGATAGGAAGAATATATGTTTCAATTCATTCATTTCAACAGATATTAAATAACTATGCCATTCTATCAGAGAGATTTAGGCATACTGAGAAAGTAAGAC